TTCTCTCTCTCTCGTATGTGTGTATCAGAGCCTACCTTGCTAACTGTTCGCTATGGGTGAAATAAAACAAAAGCTCACAGAGGGAGAACTACTCAAAATGTTAAATGAAACAGGGACAGCTTCCTTATGGAAACATTATGAGTTTTTCTCAGCACACTTTCATTTTCTATCAACTCGGGGCGCATAGCAGCCAAGCAAAGCACTGTAAAACTGTCTGTGAGAGCGCGTGTGTGTGTGTGTCTACTCGCTCTGAGAGGAAAAGAGATGACCGATTTCGGGTCGGGTCGGGTCTCAACGTCTCAGGTACAGGTCTTTTGTTGGCTCTCTGATACAACTGTGAGCAGTAGGAGACACTGTTGTGTGTGTGTGTGCGTCTCTTCTGCTCTCCTCTACGTGTTGACCCCAGGCCACACTGCACTGTCTCCCAGTGAGAGAGGGACGTCCATCCTGCTACAAGTGGGATTCAAGCGCTGAAAAGCCTTTGACCACCAGCTCTTCCCAGACCTTGGGGTGCTGGACAGACCCCCCCCAAGCGCTGTCAGGGCCCGATCGCTGCCATGACCGGCAGAGAGGAAGCAGAGCAAGCAGAGAGTGGCCTTCAGTGAACATCTTGGCACCCACAGGCTCCAGGTGTGTTGCTAAATGACACTCAGAGGAGAAGTACAGTGGGAGAATTGAGCACTGGGGACGCAGACTGTACGCAGCTTGGTTAGGACAGGGTGATCTAGCAATAAGACAGTCTGGGACACGGGTCCCTGCAGAAGACGGAGAGTATGAGAGAGGCACGCCAGAGAGGAGGGACTTGAGGCAGAGAGAGAGAGCTCGGGGCAGCCGGGCAGGCCAACAGAGCACAGCGCCAATCCTAATATCTCAAACGCAGAATTCTCACCAGTCCCAGAGCAGGCTTGAAAGCCCAGCTCCATCCTCTCTTTTGCTCCCGTGCTTTGGCGAACCCCCGGGAACTTCAACAGCTCTGCTGCCCTCCCTGGCCTGAGCCATCACTCCAGGTACAGGAGCTGAGCTGTCAGTTCTGCAGATCGAGGAGACGCCCACGTCGTGCTCTGGGCAAGGGGTCAGTCCAGACACAGTCCAGACACCGGCTGCAGGAGCGCGATGGAAGCGAAACTCTGGATTCAGGCCTTGAGCCCAAAGTCCTCATAAATACAACTAGTATTAGAACAGTGCGCAAAATCAGTCACAAATATTCACACGTTACTGTCACTGATCCGTCATGTCCGATTGAATAATCGACTACATTACACATACACAACGTGTGCGATGGCACTAGTAATGGCTTATAAATTGTCTAAAACTGCCTCTTAGATGCGCATACGAGAGGAAGTAACGAAGGGGACATATATGAGTGGTGCACCACCCGTGAGCACACATTATCTAATGCCCCCCCCCCACACACAAGACAAAGTTACTGTGATCTGGACAAAAACAGCAATCAATCAGTTAATCAATGTGGAACCCCCACAGACATGATCCACACCCTTGC